TAATCAATGTTTCTACTGATTTATGTCTTATATATGATTTGGAAATTTATCCAATTTTCTATTTCCTCTGCTTTATATATGGAATAAAAAATATGTTAGAAATTAAAATACAAAAATATTGAATCCCCTTCTTGACAAACCCAGTCGATCATCCCTGATGATGATTCCATAAGAGAAATATCAAGTGTTTTTTTATGCATAATCTTTCTGCTTTAGTTTAAAACAGACAAGAAGCTAACTAAAAACTTATAACTAATTCATCCTAATATAATTTCAATCCAATGTTACTGCGGATTTGGGAAGAATGTAAGTTTTGAATCCCCAATTATTTATTTTAAGATGATACAGATTTTATGTTACCAAAAAAATAACGAACTATTGACAACCGCTGCGGAATAACTCCGAAATATTGTGATTGTTCCGGTTATGTTCGCATGAAAAACGTAAAATGTAGTCACAACGGGCATATTTTCGAAAATTCATCCACATCCATGCAGATAATTGACATTATTCGTTCCATTGTTTGTGCTCACATTTTATAAGCCCGTGTAATAATAACTTTTCAGAGAGTACGTTGTTGGACTATCTCCATCAAAGTGTCAGTTACGTTTTAACTATATAGTCAACATAATATCAAAAATGTTAGATATTGTATTAAAAATAATTGAACTTCGCCTATAAAATATGAAATTTTATCAGTGACATAAATATTCAAGCTGTATATTGGTGTAACTGCAATTGTGCATAACAGCATTCGATAATTCATCTGAGAGGTGAACACTGCACCGTCTAGCGGTATCAAAGAATTCATAAGATTGGATTTTTCAATGCAAAAATAATGTTTTGCTTTAACAGTGGCATGCGTACGGCTATTGACTTCGATATTTTTTTAAGAAAAAAATGGTACGCTAATATTTTTTTGCCAAACAAAAATTATTTTTGAATTCCTCGTTCAATTTAAAACAATTGATCTCTCTTGAATTGCTTTCCTTCGATGCGCCATTTTTGAGTAAAAAAATAAGAACCGTTCTATTGTCCGAGAAAATTGATGTAATAATTGAAGAATGCAATTTAGCAATAAATATCTAGTTCTAGTTGCTCTGGAATATGTCATGGCTTCTGACATCTGACAAGTCTCTGTTATTCAAATCTGTTCGCTGCGACATCTTTTTCATTATTTAGTTTTACAATCTTGTTAATAATGGTGAATTATTCAAGTGCAGAAATGGCGGAAATGCATTGCGTATATGGCCTTGCCGACGGTAATGGTGAGCAAGCCAGACGGATTTATCACCAGAGATATCCCGATCGTGCTTTGCCAGATAGTCGAACATTTTCTAATATTCATCGTCGTCTTGTTGAAACTGGTTCTGTCCGAAAAGGAACATCTGAAGGTAGACCTCCAAGTGTGAGAACACCTGAAATTGAGGAAGCAGTGCTAAACGAAGTCGAAGAACATCCTGAAACGAGTACGAGGAAGATCGCTAGACACTTAAATATTTGCCATCAAATTGTTTGGAGACTTTTAATGGATTTTTTGTTATATCCTTACCATTCAGAATTTCCACAATAATCATTTGTGGACAGAAGAAGATCCCTATGCCGTAACCGAAACCCATTTCCAACACCAATTTTTGGTTAGCGTATGGGCAGGAGTTATTGGCAACCACTTTATTGGCCCATTCTTCTTGCCGGGACGACTTGACGGACAGACTTACCTTAATTTTCTTCAACAACTGCTTGCTTGCTGCTTGATGATGTTCCGTTAGTAATAAGAAACAATATGTGGTACATGCATGATGGTACACCAGCGCATTTCAGTGTAGCGGTTCGTAATTATTCACAAACTGTTTATCCAAATCGTTATATTGGCCGCGGTGGGCCCCAAGAATGTCCACCAAGGTCCCCAGACCTCAACAGCTGAGATTTCTTTTTATGGGGCTATCTTAAGACACGTACACAAGTCCCATTAACACTGTAGAGGAATTAAGAGAAAGAATAGTTGCAGCTTCTGATAGAATAAAAAACACTCCAGGGATATTTCAACGAGTGCGCAATTCCATGAGAAAGAGGGTGGAAGCATGCATACTAAGTGAAGGGGGCCATTTTCAACAATTTTTGTAATCATTTCGTTGGTTTTAATGTTATGTTTGTGTTGTCAGTTGTTCTTGGTCATTACCCCTAATGAGTTTAATTTTTCCAATGAAACAATAGAACGGTTTTTATTTTTTTACTCAAAAATGGCGCATCGAAGGAAAGCAATTCAGGAGATATCATTTGTTTCAAATTGAACGGAAAATTCAAAAATAGTTTTTATTTGACAAAAAACCATTGGCGTACCATTTTTTTCTTAAAAAATATAGAAGTCAATACCCGTACGCACGCCACTGTAAAAGTTAAAAATTATTTTTGCGTTGAAAAATATGCAGCTTTATTAACATCCCCTACGTACTAAATATCAGTGAAATATCTGAAGCGGTTCTGAAAACTTCTTTGTAAGGAAAGATTTTTGGACCATAGTTTAAAAGCAAACGAGCATTAATTTTTCATGTAGATTGACACCCTTAAATATTCGCGTATCACTAAGGAATACCCTGTGTGTATATATATATTCTCGTATTAGCGTACTTTTTTCCTTGGAGATGCAAACTATCTGAACTGTTCATTTAGTTGATCAAAACATCATGTTGCTTACATTTAATACTGCCTCTCCACAATGAAGAATCGGTTCGGTTGTTGATTTGGTTTCTGTTTGTATTTCTGACAGGCGCATCCCCTTTATTTTGTTGTCTGGAATCAGCGGAGGTACTTGTTTTATAGCTCACGTAGTATAAAAGTGTCAGAGTGAGTCCAACTCCAGGAGTAATTTCTGCTTGCAACGGTCGATGAAAATTGCAACTGTACCGTTGGAAGAAGCGGTACAATTCTGTTTTTATTTCTCTCCAGTGGAAGCATAAAACATTTTATGACAGTCTACAAAATGATGACAAACCGCTGGTGTCAACATTTTTTTATTCCCTGCCAGTATGCACCTTAAAAGTGCAGTATACATGCATATTAATGGAAGATGGGTGCACCTCATTTAATGAATTCCTCAAAAAGGGGGATATTAAAATACAGGGTGAGTTCTTAGTGTGCGATTAATTGAAAGCTCTAATATCTTAAGAGATATCTAAAAAAGGTATTTATAAAGACTACAGAGAACTTCAAAATATCCATAGCTACATCGCAACATAAACAGGGTTTTTCAAATGGAAATAGTGACTATATTCTGGACGACCTCTCCAAAGAAAGAAGTTTGATATAGAGCTTAATTTCCCACTTGTAGAGTTACGGGATATTTTATATAAAAAGGCACTAAAGTTTGACAGCTTGTGAGTCATTCACGCCTGCAGACACAGAAGCAGACTTTTTGTCAAAATCATGATTATCGCATTGCTTCTGGCCAATTGAACATTTTTTGGTTTTGTGCATTATCTATACAGGGTGTTTCAAATTTTACCCCCATTGTCGGGATATCACAAACTGTAAGAGATACGAGGTCGCTTAAATGGGGGCAAAGTTGCGTATTTAAGTAATCAACAAAATGCCGCTCAGAAAGATTCGAAATTCAAACTACTTCCAAAGAGATACGGAAAAAACAAACTATCCCAAAACCGTTTAAATGTTTTCCTAACATTATTTTTAGTGGAATTTTAAAGTTAATTGCACATTCACATTGCCGCGTTTTCTCCTCTACAAGATGGCTTAATTAGAATTTCCATATGACGCTTCATCTCTTGTCATCCAGCATCAACTTTATTCTTTTTTATATACGCTATATTAGATTTTTGATGAATATTGCTTTTAATTCTGATTTCAAAAATTTATAATGTGACCCATGGAGATTATAAGATCCTAGTTATTTTAGGAAAACAGAAGTTTCTAGCTAGGCCTCGAAATTATCAGATTTGCTTTGTTTCGTATACCAGACCAGGTCTCGAATTAAATGTGGCAACAGAGTTCGTAAGACTCAGAAGGAGAAAAATAAATCGAGCAGTGAACAATCTACACGGAAGAGTCAAGCCTTGCCTACAAAATAACGGACAACATTTGCTATGATTCACATCTGATTATTTATCATTATTACCATCAATAAAATTTGCATTTTGTGTTCAGGTTTCACCACACCTTTTTATTTTCTTGTAATGTTCACCCAACAACAAATCATAGCCACCTAAGAAAATACATCACTGAACTTAGGACTAAGAAGTCTATTTAAATAATAAATAAATTAATAAACAAAATTCCAATATACTCGTAGTGTCCAAATGAAAAATTAAAGTTCATGATGGAAGTCGAGAGAAGATATGTCGAATTGAAAATTTAACTACGCTATCTGGTATAGGAGAACAAGTAACAATGAAGACATGCAATTTATTTTGAAGTCCCATCTCAAATAAGGTCAGGAAGAAATAAAAGTGAAAATCTGGTATGCGAAACAAATGACTGTCTGGTAATTTCAAGGCCTACTTGGGAAATTCCGATTTCTGGAATGCAATTTGCGCAAATTGACTTGTGCATGCCAATTTGTGCAAGCAAATTGGTACATGAAAACGAAAATTGCTTACTTGGGCAAGCCAAAAAGTTTGGCTTGAGTAAAATCTGGATGGTCAGATAATTTGCATGTGGTTGGCACAAATGCATGAACGAAACGACGCACCAATTCGACGCATGCGTAGTGGGTAAATAATAGTAAACAGAACGTGCGTGTGGCGCTAATTTGTTGTGATAAATAATGAGAAAGAAAAAGAGTTCATAGTAGAGTTTATTGAGCTCTATAAATCTTTTCCTTGTCTGTGGAAGATGAAATCAAAACAAAAGAAAATAAATTCTTCAAGAACGACGTACAGAAAAGAATTAAAAAAGGTTCTAGATTCTGAGAGGTCCGGTGTAGGCACCGACGATGTATACTCAGCTTTTTACTGGATCAGGAAAGTCCAAGAACCACTGTGTCAAATATGGACGACGACCATGAAACGCAGGTAAATGTCTTGTGTTTATTTATTCACCTAATAATTCATTAATACATTCAGTGGTGGATCCACGGGGTGAGACGGGGGACTGGGGAAGAATCCCCCCAAAAAAGGTTTCCACAATGTATGACTTCGAGGTAGCACTGGAAGAAGTATTGAAAATATTTTCTAGAATGGGCAAACATCGTATAAATTTCAATGTATAAAATTGATGTTTATATTTACATTCAAAATAAAAATTATTTCCCTTGACGCAATAATCACAAACATTACGTTTTCGAATTCCCCCCCCCAAATTTCCTTCTGGATCCGCCCCTGAATACATTAGTAACAGTGTCGTTAATTACTTGGATTAGAAACCATTTTATGTTGCCATTAAACATTACCAGAATTATTGAAATAAGTTTCAAAATTTTTCCTCACATGTTTTGCTTCGGTACTGTGCTTGCAAGATATAACAAACTGTGATTCTGTGTTTGCAGTCCCTGGGTAATGTCACCAGTAGACGTACCTTCAACGTTAAATACATCACTAGGTGTATATGAATTCACCGAATTTCTGAGTAGAAAATTGTGAAGCGCACAGCATGCCAAAACAACTTTGTCAATGTTATCAACTTTTAAATTAATACATGTATGGAATACTCTAAAACGATTAGCCAGAATACCAAAAGTATTTTCTACTACTCGTCCAGCTCTACTCAAACGGTAGTTGAATACTTTTTTTGGATAGTCCAGCTCTCTTTGATTATACGGTTTTAAAAAATCGTGTCGCATTGCGAATACTTCGTCTCCTACAAACACATAATTCAATGGTAGTTCACCGGGTACAACTGTCTCTGGTGCTGGCAAATTAAGTTTATTTGCTGCCAAATACTTCATAAATTTGGTGTTTTCAAAATACAGTGCAATTTTCTTCCATTCTTCTGTAGTTTTCGGAAACTGTAAAAAAATAATTCAATGTGCATAGCTACTAACTGTATCTTTTGTACGTAATATGGGGATGATTAACTAGTTTTTTTTTTTAGAATTCTGAGACACATGAACTTCAGTCCGTAATTCGTCCCGACCAGCCACAACACATTCAGTTATATCTGAACCACTTACACCTCGGCCAATATCACAAGCATCAAAAAGGCGTAACGACAAATGTGATGAAGTCCTGGATGTAATTCAGAAACGCTTTACAACGCCTTCAGATGTTGACGACAAGTCTACGCTCATTGGAAAAGCATGGGCCTGCAAGTTAAAGGAACTTTCTCAAGAACAAGCAGTTGACGCAGAGAAACTAATAAATGATATTTTCTATGAGGCGCAACTCGGAACTCTAAATCGTTATTGTACCTTGCATATACAACATCCATTATACAATCAGCAAATACAACCGTGTTTACAACCAGGGTCATCATATAATCATCAAATCACGCCATCTTTGCCGACGCCTCCTTTACAAACAGGACCATCCTCTCAGCACCAGATACAATCAAGTTCACAAACAGGATCGTATTATCAACATACGCAACCAACACACACTCAACAACCTGCACAAGCTGACAGTGACTCGCAAACAGTCTCACATTATTTATCGAATTTTACGACTGATTAAAACATTGTTCTAAAATAGCTTAAAGCATTGTTCTAAAATAGTTAATACACTTACCCTTAAATATTCTTGCTTTAATACACTGTAACTGGCAGCACACGTTTCAGGAATCATATTACTGAGAGCGGATTTGGAAATACATGTAGAAAATTTGAGATCTTCATATGTTCTCCCCGTGGCTAAAAACCTCAAAGTGGGAGATAATCGTTCATGTGGAGTAATTGAACACTTCATAACAGTATCAGTCTTTTTTATTAACGGTGTAACTAAATCCAATAAATGTCGATAAGTTGCCTCTTTCCTGCGCAGGTAGTTACGAAAATCGTCTGGTTAATTTGTTAATTCTTTTATTAAATTAATATGAAAATAAGTGGCTCTTTTTTCAATCCAACTCTTCTGCGATCTTCTCTTTTTTTTGTCTTTAGGCACCGTTAACTTTTTAATTAAACAAACACCAGCTACTGCTAATAATTCGTGTTCGTAATCCATCTTCAGCTTTGCTCAACGACAATCTGAACTGTACTTTTTTAGACAAACTTGTGCATGATTCTGGGCCGGTAAACTGTACGTTAGGACGCTCACATCAATTCAGTTTAATTTGCGCAAATTTGCATGCACAAGTTGATTGGCGCAAATTACTTAAGCGTGAAAACGCACTATAAGGTTGGGCAATGTAAATATTGTGACGTATTATAAATTTTAGAAATCAGAATTATGAACTCACTTCATCTGTGCAAAAATCCAATGTGGCGTCCATTAGAAACAATAAAGTTGATCGTGGATGACAAGAGACGAAACGTTGTATTTAAATTCTAATTATGACATCTTGTAGAGGAGAAAAGTGGCAATGTTAACGTGCCACTACAAATAAGGCAAGCAAAAATTTAAAGCGATTTGGTAAAAAATCGATTTTTTCCGTCTTTCTCCGGAAGTTTCCGAGATCCCAATGGTGAGAGTCCAATTTGAAACACCCTGTATATGGTGCCGTGTAAATGGAAACTGTACTTTTACTCAAAATATTCAAATGGAACACCCCGTATGTTTTTAGAATTATCTGAAATTCCTTTTATAAAATTCATTTTGACATAATATTCTTAGGGGGATATTACTAAATTTATGATTTATTTGCATTTCACTTCAAAATCAAAAGTTTGCAACTCAGTTTGCAAGCGTGAATGACTCACAAGCTGTCAAGGTTCTTCGGACCCCTGTAGCTTGCTATATCAAACTTGATTAGCATTGTGCGGAGGTAGGCGAAAAGAATGTTTTATGGACTGTTGACACCGCACCGTTGCGCTGGAAGTGCAGAGTCAACCTACTGGACTCTCGTCTTTTACTAACCTGTCTTCTTTCAAAATCAAATAAGTTCGCCCAGAAAGTTGCTGTTTGTAAATTGTTACAGAGTGTACTTTGTACAACCCGTAACAATTTTAGTGTTGGTACCTGTTTCACGTACCTGTTCTACGCGTTCGGAAATAGAACAAAGAAACACTTCTGGAACGGTTCAAAACCTTGTGAAAAAGAGTGTTGTCACTTATCACTCGCATTGTTCATGGTTTGTTTATTTTATTGGGCTATCAAAAAGTGTCAAAAGTGGCATAGTGTATATTTTTCACGATAACTGGACTACCTTGCATCCATAACGATTCTTATAATAAGTACAATGGTCGCAGAAAACGGGGTCAGAAATTAGTCACCTGTTATTGAGTGTCATTACATGACATGACATTACTGTGTGAGGTATTACATTACCAAGCGATTTACAAACGCACCCCTGTGCAGTATTGTATTGCTGTACCTGATGACAAGGAGATCCGGTGTGGCTAGCGCAGAGTTTGCGGTGCCGCTTTGTAAACTTCCTTAATGTTAGCCACCAAGATAGAGCTCATTCTTTCTAAATCGTTGCGTCTAGAAAAACAAACTCTCTCTGTTTGCCCAGCTGCGATCGTAGAAATAGGGCGAGAGAAATGTTTGCATTGACTTTTGCTAGAAGCTCTTTAAGCTCTCCAATCGTAATGGCTATTATTTCTACTTTTGCTATAAACTTGATTCTTCAGGCCACCTTCCCTCAGAGAACTGAACGGATAACTCCGGGCACTTAGAATTACATCTAAAATAATTTATGAAAGGTGACATGGATTCTGTATGGGTAATTATAAGGTGGGTTTTTCGGAGTTTGGTGTTTGAATTATCTATAAAAAGAAACTAATAAACATTTTCTTGAATTTCTGCTATATTGAAGAGGCTGAATGTTACCCTTAAAGAATGAAACACACATTGATTGTCGGCAGGGCTGTTACGTAGAAAACCTATATAATTTCAAAAAACAGATATAGTCTCACTTTTCAAGTTACGCAATAACCTTGCTGACATCATCTCATCCGATTAGCCCAGTTGTAAAGTAGTTTGTTGTTTGTTTGGGCTTGAATTTCTTGAATGGAAACTTCGGTATCATGTTTCAAGACCTCACTTGTCTCTGTATGGTTAACATAACATTTATTCTTGATGGCTTTGCGTAGAAACGAGTTCAAATTGTAGATCCGAGGCGGCTAGTTGACATCAGACTTTTGGCTAGTTGTTCAGTTTCCGAACACGGTGACTAAACTTGGATTGTTACTTTAGTTGTGTGGCAAGTTGCATCGTTCTATGGGAACCAAATGTCGTCCATGCCCTTTGCAACTTTTGAATGAATGAATGAATTAAAAACGCATTGGATGGTCTTATTTCGTTAATGTCAAATATGATACTGAATACCTGGACATGTCATAAGTCATCTTGGACCCTGTATCGAGCGACTCTGAGTGTACGGAGTTGAATAGCTGAACCCATCTGTTTCAGCCTATTTTAGTCAAACGCTGTAATCAATACAGCGTTGCTCCAAAGAAGTACATAATATAACAAGGTCAATAATATTGAAAGAAAAATAATCAAGCATGAATTAATCTAAAAAGGAAGAAGAATAGAATAAAACGTTCCCTTTATTATCAAACTATTGTTTTTTAATCAAGTGTTTATATACAATATCTGGCAACAATGGATGCTGCTGTTGAGCTAGCATATGTACGTTAGAATTTTGATTAGGTTCACAAAATTATAAAAATTAACTTACTTTTTTTTATTCACACTAACATAGTTTCTTGTAAAACAATTCCGGATGCTACGACATCTTTACAAACACAGAAAATACGATGTGTATACTCGAGCATATGATCACAAAACTGGTACAATGAATGACAGGGAATAACTGAAATGTTTAGTCAAACGATGTAATAATCAAACTGTTACGGTGTTTGCCGGCAATAGGGGGACTAACTGGGCATTTCAGGGAATGACGGATTTCAGGCCGACATATACACAAGATAAAAAAAACACCGTTGGGTCCGAAACGTCCTGCAATAAAGGGGAATCATAAACATATGTGGTTTGAATCGGCCAGAAAAACATGCGAAACACCTCATTCTTTTCAAATTATCTGTCTGACCGCCAGCATGAGACCCCGATTTTGAGTCTTAATAAACATATCAGAGTGTGAAACTACAGGTAGACGACAAGTGACTATTTTTTCTTTGTTGCACCGCTTATTTGGCTGCTAACTGAAACTACATATATTTAAATTACTGCTTACCGACACGACGTTTCGGCCACCATGGCGACCTTTTTCTGTTAAACCTTGCACTAACCTAACTTTAGCAGCTGCAAAAGTGGTTTCACATTTTACTATATATACTAAGTGACATATAAATCCGAACACCCAGTTTAAATGGTTTTATTTTAATAAAAGTTGGTGAATGTATTTATCTTACTGTAAATAACAAGTGAAAAAATGTTCAGCCTTATCAGTTGGACATTCCGGTTTTTATACTGCTTTTTTTTAATTCACTAATGCTCTAAAAATGAATATTTCAGCCGCAGTAAACAATCAACGTTGGCGGATTTTAGTTCTTGACATCCTTTACGATCGGTTACGATGCCTAGAGTACGGAGACCTGTACGATTTCGTTAACTTCGTGAGTTTGATAGGGGCCGTATAGTGGGACTTCGGGAAACTGGACTTTCTTTTCGGACAATTGCAGTTAGAGTGCAAAGAAGTGTAGACACTGTGGTTAGGTGTTGTCAGGCATGGCTTCGAGAAGGCCGTACGCAAAGAGCAAGGGGCACTGGACGCCGCCGTAGAACAACAGACCGTGAAGATCGCCGCCTAAGATTATTGGCCTTAAGGAACCCTTTCTCCACTACCAGGTCCGTTGCAAATGAATGGTTTGCAGAACACGGAAGACCTAGTGGCATGCGAAGTGTTTACCGACGAATGAGAAGTTTTGGCTTGTTTTCATACCGGCCACACTGGGTCCTCCCTTTAACTCGAGAACACCGACGTAATCGCCTTGAGTGGTGCAGACGACGGTCACTCTGGGATCAGGAATGGAACAGTATTGTCTATAGTGACGAGTCTCGATTTTGTTTAGGCATGCACGATGGTCGTGCCAGGGTTAGAAGGCGACGTGGTGAAAGGAGGAATCCACAGTTTTTTGTTGAAAGACATGTTCATCACACTGTTGGAGTTATGGTTTGGGGTGCTATAGCTTATGGTTCCAGGTCACCTTTAATCTTCATCAGAGGTAACATGAACGCGCAGCGTTATATCCACGAAGTTCTAGAACCCCATCTTTTACTCTATCTTGACACCCTGGCAGATCCAACTTTCCAACAAGATAATGCCCGACCACATGTTGCAAGAGTCACAATAGACTTCTTTCAACATAATGATGTCACATTGTTACCATGGCCACCAAGATCTCCCGACTTATCCCCAATTGAGCACGTGTGGGATATGATGGGTAGGAGATTGCTCAATTTTCAACGTCCTCCTCAGACTCTAGAAGCACTTCGAGAGGAGTTGGTGGTTGCCTGGAATGAGATATCACAGGAGGACATTGACCACCTGATCAGAAGCAT